GGCAGCTAAACGCGCGACACAGGTGCTATTTGCGATTAGGCGGGGATTCGTCCACATCGACAAGGAGCTCTTCAAGAAAGCAAACAGAGCGTTTGTTCGGTCCCACTTGGAGAATGCCGTACAAGCCTGGCGTCCGCGGTTCAAGGAGAATTTCCTGCACCTGTAAGTGCAGGCGAAGGCTTCGAAGACGGTCAAGAACCTCAGTTATCTCTCATATGAAGACAGATTGACTAAACTTTATTTATTTCCTCTCAATTACAGGCAACTCAGTGGTGACCTGATCCAGACCTACCAAATTGTCAGAGGCCGTGAGTGCGCTCTTGAATTTGACGAATTCGTCGAATTAGCTCGGTCGGATCACCTGCGGGGTCATCCCTTTAAACTGCAGAGGAAGCCAGCCCATATGGACCTTCGACGGAACGCCTTCTCACAGAGCGTGGAACGGACTCTCTGATGAGATGGTCCTCTCAGCTTCTGTGGACATTTTTGAACGCCAACTTTTTAGAAACTTTTAAATATGAATATGGAGCTCAAGGGCGAAAGCCTTCTTCCCTTAATAAAGCGACTTGATAACCTCCGATGTATTTCTCTAGCAGCTTGACAAACTCTCTTACAAAAATGTAGATAATAATATATAACATTAAGGACACAGGCAGATTTCTTAGCACAAGATAAATAAAAAAGTACAAAGTTTATCTGTTTGTGAATTAGTTCGCCCACTTGCATACATAAGTATTTTGTTTGAGCGCACTATTTACATTATGTACAATTGTCATTACGAACTTAAAAAACCTCGGGAAAAGGTAATTTTCAATCTCAAGTTAATAAGTAACAAATGCGAACTTCAAAGGTTTTTAGACACTTAAAATTGTATTATGTCTATTTTGTCTTCTTATACTAAATAATTTAGAAAATTTTGGCTATTATATCGTATTCTTCCTGCGTTATATTTTAAAGTTCAGAGATATTGGGCTAATCATTCAAGTAATTTGATGATAATTTATATGCATTTAAAGCTATCACTGTATTTTAAACGACCTGATCAGGTCGTCAAATATTTCGACCTCCTCGACATCAATGGGACGTATGATGTATAGTTTATGTTTAACTACTGCGCTCTGAATCGCTGTGTACCCTACTAGCAATGTTCCGGAACCAAAGGATAGAATGGTTCCAGTGGGACCAAATGATAGAGGCGC